GGGGTTAGTCTTGCCCCTCTGGGCATTGTTTGGAAGTGAAGGTGTCGCCATGATGCATGTATGTCATCAGCGATGTGTCTGCTTTAATTTAATGCAGTTTGTAGGCCAATCAGAGCATCCCATCACGAGTTATACTCGAAAATTGCCAGTGCGGCCATAGTTTTGCACCAGCAAAAAAACGAGTTTTATCATTTTCTCGGAATACGGTTGACCTCTGCGGATGATTTTGGCGTCGGATATTGGTCAAATTAAAGGACGTTTCGAGTGGTAGCATTGGATTTCTTGTTCGATTAACACACGACAGCCTCCTCCACAAATATTGGGTGCGGCTACAATTTTGTTCCAGACTGTAGGTGATGGCAATAGCTAAAAAAGTGGTGGGAGGGCGCAACCAACACTATATTAGCAGCGAGTCAGCGCTTCACAAATGATAGTGATCCTTGGTCCAGCCGCCGCAGGAATGGCATTGCGTACGGGTGTGCTGTCGTCTGGGCACCCTGGTAAGGTGTTGGCATCTTCGAGTTGTTCATGGAATGGACTTTAGATGTGAATGTGCTCGTGGGAGCCAGGTGCCTCCGACTAGAATCCATTGGTTTTGGCGACACACGTGGCAGCAGTGGTAGGTCACTGCTGTCACTGAATTGGTTGGTTGGAGGGGCTAGTAAGCTCGAGCTGATGGGCCGCGCCCGACCGGCGCCTTTATTGAGTTGTTGTCGCCCGCGCTTTGCTGTTGCAGGAGCTTCACGCCCTCACTACCCTGCTGACGCAAACACGTTGCCCATAGAAAGCGTCACCAAGAAGAGGCGTTCGGAGGTGCGGTCTTGCTGGCGTCTGCGGCGGCGTTGCAGAATTCCTACTATATTGTCGTTCCAGCCTTCAGTGGCTGCGTCGAAGTCGACCGAGGTTGTGCTCGAACAGCAAGGGGGCAACCGTCACCCGAGTCGAACTAGGACATCGCAGGTCCTGCGATGCATTCGCTGAGGCCATTTACAAATCATCTAAGTATGCACGCGCGAAATGCCCGCAATCAACCCATGGGCGCAAGCGATGCTTTCGTTTGTTACCGTCTCGAAGGAGAGGTGGCTGTGGCATTGCATCACCGCGATGATTATCCATGGTACTTGTTCTCGACAACGCGCTGGTGGCGGCAGCTCTCAGTCCCATGAACGTCCAATCTACCGTCCATCTCGCCCTTCCAACCAACATCTGCATCCACCGACGTCATTCGGATGCCTACCTCGGCGTAGCTCCAGCACCTCGAAATTTCGATTCTATCCGCTTGTTTTCAAAACGGCCCATCGCCGCCTTCAGCTGGGATCGCCGCATCGCCACGTGGTGATCCATGCAATCCAATTCCGACCAAGTTCATCGTGTTTGATTTGAATGCGTTCGGTCGACTGTGCGATGCTGTAGACGAACACGTGTGGACCACGACGGCGAGTTGAGGCAGGCAAGCAGACGACACAATACGTCAGACTCGTTCGACCATGACCTGCCGTTGAGTGGAAACCCAAGACGTTCATGTGGTTGTGTTTGGCGGCTGCTTGCACGGCACCGCGGCAGGCTATGGCCTCCACCACTGTCCACCACTGTAGCTGGCGGAACCAGTTCATGCCAGGGTTGATTGCATGAGGTGGCGAGACACGTTGTCCATCCAAAGTGTTCAACGTGGACGTGTTCAATAGGTGCAGCACGCACTAAAGAATTGGCTGTACATCAGGTGGCCCTTCATCCAGACAAAGCGACGCATCCAAACCAGAAGAATTACCTTCCGAGCGATGCATGTGCAGGTAGCGCACCATTTCGAGACGCAGCATCGTCCATCCTAGCGGGGGAGCGTTGATCGTACGACCGATGTAGCGCCTTCGGTCCTTTGCGTATGGACGTATTCCACCATGCTCCATGCCCTGCTTTGGCGGTCCGAGTCCCTCCGCTCTTCGTGCAGCCTTCTTTTCGATGGACGTGTAGAAATCGCACTACTTCGACATGTCCATATTGCGAGGCTCAGTTCATGGCTCTGTCCGTGGCGCCTGCGGGGCGTCGGATGTGCAAGATCTGCACCACGTACAAATGTCCTCCTATCGACGCCAGAGACGTTGTGCAAGAGGACGAGGGCAGGCAAGGGAGCGATCGCGGCCACCACGGGATTTGTGACATAGTGGTGGTGCTCGTGGTAGTACCGCGGAAACGTGTCAAACAAGTGGCGGGAGAACCATGCTCCAAACGCGTCCATGAGGAGCTGTGGGCTAGTCCGATGGGAGTGCGATAGCGGACAAACTCGCTAGGCATGCCTCGTTGGTATGCACGATTCACTTTGGTCGAGTCAAGATGTCGTCGATCGCAAGAGGCGCCGCCGTCAAGCGAGCAAACACCGCTGGCCGCGGTGGCATTGCCATGGCAATCGATCGCACCCGACGATCCGACTTGACATCGCAACGACCATTGTTAAACCTACAAAATATGCGCAGAATAGCGCAGCGTCACTTGTGAAAACAGAGCACGGTTCTTCCTGCAGCCCGTGCGCAATCCAGCAGAGTCCATCGAGAACGCTATTTCGTTGTGCCGCCATCTAGCTCGAGGAGAATTTGGTCTGGCATGGCCGCATGCACTTGGACTTCCAGCAATCACCATGGTCTCCGTAGGGGTTACAGAATGGAAGATCCCGGATGAAGCAGTTTCAGATTCGCCGTCACCCATGGCATCCGTTCACTCGCCATTTTCGATTCGTCACGATGGCCATCAAGCGCGCGCTGGCGGCTCTCGTCGTTTTGGGACTGGCTGGGATCCGTCAAGGTGGAGGAGTACAAGGGCTCGACACGGACTGCGAAGTCGACGCAGACTGCCCTGCAACGATGGCATGCGTGAAAATCAAGTACCTATCTCCGTCGTCGGACCAAGTCCGCGCAAAATGTGCGCTGAAGAGCGTGTGCCGCGGTAGTAGCTCTGGCAATTGCCCAAGCTACAACGCTCCTTCAGCACCGGGTGGCGAGCTCGAGACTCAGTGCGTTTTCGTGAACACGACTAAACTTCGCGGCATCAAGTGCTGCGGCGGTACATGGACGGGCGGCGACCCCGTCGATGCTAGCGGTCGACGCTTGTCTGGCAATTTGACGGATCCGACAACTGTCGCGCCGACCGCGGACAGCGCCGATTGCTTTCAATGTTACGTCGACAACCTCAACAAGGCGGCGCACCCGACGATCTACGTTGGGCAATTCTTTTGTGTCCCCACGAAAGAGTGCCGCGCCCACAGTGCCTTCCCCTACGCTTGCAGCAGTGCCAACCGTGCGTTGTGTGCACACGAGTGTGAGATTCCCACGGCTTGCTAACATTTTCGCGTGATCTAGCATGCATGTCGTCTCCCGGCGTGCTGTGCAACAACCATGGCACGTGCTACCCCCAAGACATAGACGACCCCAAGACATCGTACGGCTGTGCTTGCGACTTGGGGTTTGGTGGCGACCAGTGCGAAAAGGTCCTTACTGGTACGGCTCGTGTACACAAATGGAGCTGATGGTGGATATCGTCGTAGATGCTTGCTTGTTTGATTGCGGAGACGGCAACACGAAAGGCGAGTGTGTGAACGATGCATGCAAGTGCAAGGATGGCTGGACAGGCAAGCAGTGCCACAAGTGCGCGGCCGACGACGTGTGCAACGGAGGATCTTGCAATGTCGTAACAGGCCAGTGCGTGTGCCCGCTCGACTCGCTGTATGACTTTTCGTGGAAGGCCAACATTTGCTACAAGCAAGTAGGTCGTGCGGGCTGGTCGCGTCCATGACGAGTGCGTGTGTGTGGTCGTAGGGTGTCAAATCTGCGGCCGATCTCAAGTTGTGTGATGCCATCTCGTGCGGAGACAATGGATTTTGCATCGCTGGCAAGTGCTTTTGTTCGTCCGGGTGCACGGGCACAGTGTGCACGCCATGTGCCGACTCGACATGCGCGACGTGCACTTCCACAGCGGCGTTGGACGGACCGACCGTGTGGTTGGCAGCAGCTGTGCTCTTGCTAACGTGGCGCACGGTCGCATAAGTCCCCCCGCTCGTCCATTTGGTGGTTGCTCCCTTGCCCCTATCTCAACACAAGGGCACGTGCATGTCGTTGCGGCGTCGACCGCCGCCATGGATGCATGTATCTCACAGATTTCAATTGCCCTGGTTCGTCCGTATTTCATTGGTGGATTGGATTTTCAATCCACCAATCAAACGATTCATAAGGTAAACACTGCGTTCTGATTGGATGGTCGGCGTTAACGTTCTCGCATGACTTCGTCAAACAAGAGCTGCTTGAGTTGGGCTGGCTCGACCTTTTTGTAATCCAACGTGCTGGCGGGTGGGCCATCCGCGTCGTTTGGAGTGAACAGCATGCTGTCGAGCTCGTCATTTCGACACGAGTCAAAGTAGGGGTGTTTGAGGGCGTCCGAGGCCGTGATGCGTTCGTTCGGGTCAAACTGGAGCAGTTTGTCGAGCAAATTCAGCGCCTACAACCGACGTAGTGTGGACCGCGCACCCACCACGCACACGTTGCAGTACCTCTGGGTTGGCATGGGGAAATACTTCCGGCCAGGCAACTTTGGCGATGACGGGGCTGCGCGTGAGCAGTTGCCGACCGGCAAACCGGCGGGCGGTCGGGTTGTCGCAAAACGAAAACGTGGACGGCGTGCCGACGACTTCAATGATGACCTACGCCATGGGATCTCTTGAGGCGACCACACGTCGACAACAGGAAACTCAAGTTTGTATCCAAGTCGAGCCAAACACACAAACGGACGCTGCCTACCTTGAGCTGGTCGACGTAGCTTTTCCCGGGAAACATCACGCGGCGACCGAGGAGCTCGCCGAAAATACATCCCACGGACCACACATCAATCGACATTTCGTATGCATTCGCGAGAAGGAGTTCGGGCGCGCGGTACCTAATCGACCACGCGTTAGCAAGAGTCGCGCGAGTCGAGATGCGATTCAGGCAAGCATGGAGGGTCGGCATCCCCCATGGTCATTTTGCGACGTACCAGCGCGTCACAACGTACTCGGACAGCCCCTCGGCCAAATCCTGGTCGGTCGCAAAACGAGCCAAGCCAAAGTCGCAAATCTTGATCGAACAGTCCGAATTGACGAGGATGTTGGACGGCTTCAGGTCGCGGTGGAGGACGTTGGCGCTATGGATGTACTGGATGCCGCACAGGATTTGGTACATAAAGTGCTGGATGTGTTCGTCGCTCAGGTGTTCCTTCGAGTGGATGACGCGGCACAGGTCGGTCTCCATCAGCGACTGCACAATGTACAAGTCGTCGAATCTACACCAGCCACACATCATCTCTCCGCCTTTCACGCGTCGTCGCCGTACGCTTCAAACGAGAGTGGACGCTGCAGCTCGTGCACTCCCATGATGCACGGATGCGCGCCGAGTTTGTTCATGAGCTGAATCTCTCGAAAGGCCAACATCGCGACCTTGGGGTGGCGCATAAACTGGGCAATTTTCTTGATCGCATACGTTCCTCCGTTGATGCAGTCGCTGGCAGCAATCACGACGCCATACGTGCCTTTTCCCACGACTTTGACCTGGAAAGAACGCCGCGTGACGCTCCCAGTCGACTGTGCTTCGTGGGCGTACCATCCGATACCGGTCCGAAATGGAAAACGTCGAGTCGCCAATGATAAACTGGTGCAGCGACGACTTGTCCGTCGAGTTGGACAGCGCCGCGCCTTGCCCAGTCGACGGTCGGTCGACAAAGCCTGCAAAACGTCGTGAAATGGCAACGTCCGCAGGAACAATCATGGACGGTTCGAGATTCCCATTGCACAGACGACAGTTGAAATACAGACCACTCCTCCGCCATGGCCGCCACTAGAGCCACCGTGCCAGCCAAGGACTACACTCGTCAAGGCTTGCCCAACAACGTGTGCCATGGCTCCGCCCCACGACGAGCCACAACGTCACAAGTCAATGCTTGTCCGTGTGCAACTGAATACACATTGATCCAAACCACCATCCACGCACACGAATCGGTGTCTCTGCACGTACTCTGATCGACATCTTCACCGACAAACGAGCTAAAGAGGTGGCGGTTGGTCAGGTTGTGGCTTGCGCGCGTCGTCGACGAGAGCCAAGGATACCGGGGCTTGACGCCTGGAGTGCTCGGGACCGATAGACTCGAGGCACCTTCGCCAAGAGGCGAGATATGCACCTACATGCACCGGTCAGCGCACAACGTAGTAGTGGACGGTATGACGGCGCACAGAGAGCATCATTTTCCCGTAAAAGCTTTCGTTTGCGTTTGATAATGTATACGTTTGCCAGCTCGATTCCATGCCGGCACGGTTGAAAAAGTAAGCCAAGTTGACGGTGGTCCGACCCAACACGTCGTGGGTGGACAGTTGGCAAAATTGCACTACAACGACCGATCTCAGCCAAAAATCAACGCGCCATGCGATGCACCGCCGCCGACGTACCCCCCAAGAGCGTATTGTCGTCACGGGAGAGGCTGTCCATTTGGAGAAACAAATCCTGCTTGATGTCAAAGTGACAAACGTCGCCGTCCGTGGCGGACGTGGCCGTGATCACTTTGCTCTGGGCTTGCGTTGGTTGCCGCTGGTCGCTGTCACGGCTCGTGTTGTTTTCAAATGCGCACCGGACAAAGTACTTTTCGTTTGGGTCCGTGCGGATGCCCGTGAGGTGCTTAAACTTGATCGCGACGATGTACCCGCCGACAAACGATTCGCGGACGCGCTCCGAGTGCGACGGCAGCGTCAGACTCATGCTGAACCCCTGCGGCTTGAACACTACCGACGACGCGACCACGTCGCCAAATATTTCCCACCTGCCACCAAAAGATTCGTCACAAGGCCAAACCAACCTCATGTTTCCACATGCACGGGCACATGGATGAAATCTGAAAGCACAGCGCAAGCGATAAAAGCACTCGACACACAGCGCCGAGGGCGGTCCCTCCAACGGTGGCCGGCGGCCCGTCGAGGGTTGGACAGCCCCCAACGATGTCGCGCACCAACGCACGTCGACATTCCGCATTGCAACGTCACAGCAAAATATCGTACGGGCGCGAGACCTCACCTCGAGATGCGGCCGTCTTCTTTAAAGTGCAATTTGTGCACCCAGTGCTGCATGAAGGTCGCATTGGACGTGCGCACTTGCATGGTTTCTTTGCCCGACACGACCACGATGCGCTTGCCGCTCTGGCCTTCGCAGCTCATCCCGTCGACCTGGAAGCTCTTAAACTTGACGGCGCGCGCAACGTTTGTAAAGTAGTCTAGAATGCCCATGTACTCTCGGTACGTCCCTGCAAACGGGACCATCGGGAGGTAGTTGGACCGGAGCACGATGTCGGGTTGCAAAATTGAAAACAACCGACCCAAAATGTGGTCGGTCTTTGGTCGGATCGACGACGACGACAATGGCGCGTTCGGCACGACTTCTTGGTTCACGCGGTGCTTCTTGTGTGCCTACGACGTGGGGCTGAGTTTCATGGCGCAGTCCATGGCAAGGTCGCACCGCGAGCTTGTGCTTGTCCTCCATGTCACTCAGCGACGCGATCATGTACTCGTACGCAGCGTAGAAATCGCTCAAGCCAACGCTGCGGAAGGATCCGCGGCGGCGGAGCCCACCATTGTCGAGATCCGTGTCGGCAATTCCTACGTCAGGTCGCATCGTGTAGGTCGATTCAAATTGTTGATGGCGTCACAAATTGCTGGCCCCGGCCAACAAAGCGCACGAGCATCGACGCACTGGCGACGTACCGTGGGTTGCCATGTGCATCCAAAGTTGTTTGGAAGCTTCCGACTTGGCGCGAAAGTGCAGCTTTTTCGAGTTTTGCGTTTCAAAAACAAAGCGAAAAGGCACGTGCTTCTTGGACGGCGTCGCCGGCGGCGACGACGCGTTCGAGAGCGCCGCGGCGGCCACCGATGCATTCGTCGACATGGACGGGGTTGTCGACGACGTATGCTGGTACGATGCAGACGAATACGAGGCCGACGACGAGTACTCGTAGTCGTAGTGAGTGCGAATGTCGATAACCTTGTCAAGAACCACCTTGTCGCTGAACGTGAACCGACCGTCCTTGATACGCGAGTTCTCGGGATGGAGCCGCGCGTCGTCTTCGCTCAAGTAGCAGCACAAAACGCGTCCGTGCAAGACAAAGTAGTAAGTTTCCCAGTGCTTGAGCCAGTCACTGCGCTTCATGAGATACCCTTCCCAGTGCAAAGTCAGCGCAGGCTCGTACAGACCCTTGAGCCCGACAACCTTGGGTTTCGACGACGACCCGCGCTGAAGGATGTTGGAGCTGCTCATGCTACGCGCGCGATTCGCGTCTACTTGCCGTGGCGTCGCCATGAGCGAGTTGCCTTTCAGTTGGCTGCCACTAGAGGTACGGCTAAGTCCACCTGCCGTGGGAAATGGAGGGGATTCCAATTGCGTGGATGATGGCACAGGTGCTGACGGGGGTGACGTGTCTGGAGCGGATGCTTGCAGTGGTGTGCAATCCAGAAGGTCACGACCATTCGTTGACTCGTCATATCCTACAAATGACTGCGTGTAGCTCATGCGCGCCATGGACGACAGGCGTTCGTCGCCTTCGAGGACGCTGTCCGCAAGGATTTCCACCGCAAGTTCGCACGGCTGGCCGTCGACAACGCGGTTTGCCGGGGCTGAAGGAGACGACTTGGGCGTACCGCCATCATGACGCGGCGGGCCTCCACTGCCCCGCGGCGTCGTCGAGTACTGGCTGAACACGAATGCCCGGTCGTAGTCGGACCGGAGTTGGTACATCGCCCGCTCCTTCCTCAGACTAATTCATGTAATGCGCGACGCTTGTGTAAAAACAATTCCATACAAAGTTCAAGTTATTTCCACGTAATAAAAACCGCGCAACGTTGGTAGAAGATACCACCCTTGCATGACTATACAGGTCGAACAGTCGATTTGATTGGCTGTAATGATCGAATTTTCAAGAATGACGGCCCGTGATTGGCTTGTCGCGGTGATGCCCCTGGATTCTTTGCACGGCATTTTCTTGACCAAGATCACGAGGGATGACGCAGTACGAACAGCATCCGCGCGCCATGGAGGCTGGCGTGGAGGAAGCAAATGCTGCTTTACAAGTTGCCTCGGTACTTGTAGTGTCAGAGCACTGAGGGTCGAGACCCAGACGCGCTCTTTAGGAAACTGACGCATTAAAGGCAGGGAAGCATGGACAACGTACATCGCTTCCGCTGGGTAAGTCCTTCCGTGTGGTTTAGAAGATGGGGACGTGTGCAATACCAACGCGATGTACTGGCGCCGACAATGCTCACAAGTAGAATGATCTCGCACACACGAGCTGCACTGTCCTATTCATCTGTCTGCCTAATCCACTTCCAAATCCATCTGCTTCCGGCGATCGGCCATTTCGTTCATGTGATCCGGGACGGCCTGCTTCGACGACGATGCCGCAATCAAGTCTTCGGCACGGTTCACGATGGTTTGTGCGATTTGAACCAACGTCGACAATTCTTTCTTCCGAACGAATGCGCGGGGCACCTTGTCCACAAGACTCAACGCGCCAAGAACAACGTTGTCGGACGTGACGAGCGGGATGCCAACATAGAAACGGATGTCACCTTGCGTCACCAGCGGGTTCAAGGCGAATCGAATGTCGAGGTTCGTGTCCAACACGACCGTCGGCTCGGCGCTCATGATGACATGCGACTCAAAGATCACGTCACGCGGCACGGTGTCTACTTGCATCATTCCAACTTTGGCGACGAAAAGGCCGGCGGCACCGCCGACGACGCACACCGTCCCCATCGGCACGTGGAGAGTTTTGCACGCAATATTGAGGTACATTGTGAGATCGTCGCGGGGGCGACAGAGGTCCAGGCGTTTGGCGACTTGAATGCGAATGCTTTCCGATGGCGGGACCGGCGCGTCCGGCCAGAGATTGCCGCGCTTGAAGCCCAAGGGGTAGTCAAATGAGGTGCTGGACGTGATAGCATCGTCAGGGGCGTTTGGCGAGTTGCTCGACTCGTTTGGGGACGGGGTACCATACTCGCCTTCGGTAGAGCTCGTGGTCGGAGCGGGCTGACGGGACGACTGCCGAGGACGTGAGTGGTTGGGATGGCTTGGGGAGGAATCTTTGCCCGAGACGTGGTGGCTGGGAGTGGCGTGCGAGGCAGACTGGAAAGGACGCGGCGGAGCGTAGCGCGGGAATGGCGATGGACACGATTGCGACGACGATGGATGGCACGTCTGCAACCCGCGGAGATTCGATTTCTCTAGCGTCGGCGCCGACAACGACGTCTGCCGAAAAGCAGGTTCGTGTGTCGTGGCTGTGTTGGTTCGAGGAGGCGTGGGGTTGGAAAACGAATTGCTCGCGCCGGCGGTGGCCGCCGTGGTCACAACGGAAAATGCGTCGTCTTGGAGCGATGACGCATTGCTCAAGAACGACGTTTTCAGCTGCGACGTGCCTTGAAAACGAGGTGACGGCGCCTCTGCTTCTTCATGCATTGGGTGGTCCTCACGCTCCGGCTCATCTTCGATGCCGAGCCCGTCATTCTCCAAAAACGTCGACGGGCGATCCTCAAATGGAGAATGCAATTCGTCGGCCTGGGCCGTGGGTGACAACTCGTGGGTGGCGGGAGACGATGACGGGTGAATTCGTTTGAACTGAATGGTTGCCGGCAGCGCCTGCCGAGCCGAGGCACTTGTTTGCGCTCTCTTGTCATGGCGTTTCCACTCGGCCTTGGTCGGAGACGTGGTCGAGTGTTGGGGAGGTGTGCTCCACACCATTTTCGGTTGATGCTTGGGAGGACGTTCGTGCGCCGCTGGTTGGCGCTGCTGCCCCTGTTGCGGGGCAAGAGGAACGTCGGAAGTGGTGTGTTTGTCTTTTCGAGCAAGGTTCGGGATGTTGTCGAGCTTGATCGTTGTAAACATTTCGCGAAATTTCTCGGCGCCCACCACGCCTCGTACGTGCAAGTGCTTGAATGCGACCGACGACGCAACGATATCCCCGTTGATTTCCCATCTGTGAACGACCCTGAGACGTCGATGCATGCTGCTGCTCCCGTACCTGTAGATGCGGCCGTCGTCCTTTATGAGGAACTTTTGCACCCACGCCTGACACAACGCCTCGCCCGTTCCCCGCACTTCCATCGTTTCATGGCCTTGAACAACCACGAGTCGCTTAGACCCTTCTCCCTCAAACGACATCCCTTCCACGTTGAACGATTTGAACACCACCGCTTTCGACAGCTTGGTGAAGTACTCGAGGATGCCAGCATACCCTCGAAATGTGCCTGCATGCTCGTGTCACAGCGGGCATCGCACAGGACAGCAAATCGCGAATCGAACGCGATGGGCATACTGAAAAATAAAACATACCTTGAAAGGGCACGATTGGCATGTAGTTGTTGCGCATGGCAATGTCCGTGTGGCACATGGAAAAGAACCGACACAGAATGTGGTCGACTTTGGGGGGGAACTCGGCAATTGCAGCGTCGGGAAGGATGATCGTCGGCGCGTTGGTCCCGTGGCTCTTGAGGTACTTGTTGAACGAATCGAGCGACGAAGACGAGGCCATGGGCATTGCAGCGTCCTCAATGTTGGACAACGACGCGAACAGGTATTCGTACCCCAGAAAGAAGTCGACGAGCGTCGCGTGGCGCTGGGGCGCTCGCCGCATGTTCAACGCTTGATCGTGGTCCGTGTAGTTGTCGACGATACCATGGCTCGCCATGTGCATCCACATTTGCTTGCTCGCTTCGGTTTTCGCACGCAAATAGATCTGTTTCCCTTGGTCGTTCTCAAAGATGAACTCGTAATGGTGGCGCGACCGCACGCTGAAGACTTCGTCCAGGATCAAGCTGTCGCTGATCGAGAACTTGCCGTGTTTGATCTTCGAGCTTTCCGGATGGACCTTCGCTTCTTCTTCGCTCAGGTAGCAGTACAACACCCGTCCATGGAGGACAAAGTAATACGTGTCCCAGTGCTTGAGCCAGTCGCTTCGCTTCATGAGATATCCTTCCCACCGAATCAAGAGCGGTGGTTCCCGCAACCCTGTTTCGACTTCAACACCGTCGTAGTCCAGGTCTTCGCCGCTGATGCCGTTGCTCATCAATGGGAGGTCCGATTGGCGATCCGCCTCTCGATACCGATCCATGCTGCCGCCACCGATCCTGCCTCCAGCATGAACATCCAGCGAATCGATGGATTCGTTCATATCGGCCGGCGCTTCCCCAATGGGCCGCTGACGGCGCGGATGCTGCAAGCTCATCCCACAGCTGCACTTTGTCGGGAAATGAGTCGGAACAGCACGCGTTGCGACATTATCCGGATGATCCGGACATTCCCGCCAGTATGTCGGGGCGAGTCATCCTAATGCACGACGAAAGCAAGGACGTTCTGACGCTCGTTTCCGTGTAAAGGACAAGTAAGTAGGCGGAAAATCTGGCGACGGCCTCCTCGATTGTATGAATCAGGTAGGAATATTTCACTTGAATTTTGAATGCACAGTACGCCCCACCTCTTTCGTACAACCTGCGATTGAAAGGTGTTCGACGTAATAATGTTGGTCACACAACGACGTCGCCGTCCACAGTTGTGGTCTCGAGTGCGAACATGACAAGTCCAGAGGAGGGACAGCGCATCGACCACGATGCATGTCGCGTCCATCAGGGCGATGGAGCCATGCACGCCGGGATACTGAGACTTCCTGCATATTCCTGCATTGTATAGTTTAATTGCCCCGTTCGGACGTTCGTTGGACGGTCGTCGGTCGCTCCCTCCTCGTGATCTGGCGGCAACAACGTCTTGCGTCGCGAGAGTCCGCCATCGGGTGGGGCCACGCCACTTACATGTTCCGTGTTGTGTTGCATGGGAGGTGGTTGGAGGCCATTGCTTGAAGCTCAGAGAAGCCACGATCTGAGTATTGGGACAATGGGGCGTCGGTGCGATGAGTTTGCGCGCATTGTTCCTATAGCGCACGAGGCTGAGAGCCCCGGGAGATGGATCCAATCGTTCCCAACACTGAAATACGCTTACCCCAGCCGGACAACGTTCAACCGACGCAGGAAGCATTAAACGGTGGAAAATAGCTCTAATGTGGTCGAGCCATATTCAGTAAAATCGCGCACGATATTCTGCACATGACTGTCCTTGGCCAGGCATGAACGATGCCAAATTGCCCTTCCGAACGCTTTGTTTGCTGCTGGAAGTTCTCGATTCGTATTAGCATCTGACGCTTCCACATGCAGGAGTGGTCAAATAGCACAGCAAACGAGCAACGCATGGTTCGCCCTCACGAACCGAAAGCCTTCGACGAGCTAGGTACAAGTAGCACCACCTTCGCCGTCCCGCTACGCGACGCCCCAACTGGAGCTGGAATGGCTGGCAATCGCCGCGAGTTGTGTTGTTGCACTGTTTCATCCTTTGTCCCATGACGTGTTCGTCGTCCAAGGCCAGTCCACGCTGTTTTACGTTGATGCCCGTCAAGGGGAGTGGAGTATGCCACGTATGCGAAACTCCGCAGAAGCCGGAGATCGACACCACGACACCTTTTGGGACTACAAACCGACGCTCTACAGCTCGAATCCCGCTCGTCCCCCACGTTTCTCCGCCTTGCTTGCTCCCACTGGCCCGAGAACATGTCGCCCACCCGCAGTGTTTCGATGGTACACTGCATAACTGTATATATCAGTCGGAGATCAACTCTTAGAGGTTTACCCCCAATCATCCAATCAGAGAGCCTCACGAATGTGTCTCATGTCCAATCAAATCATTCCTCAAATTCTGGAAGAGGCCATGCCATGGAGAACGCCACCGCGACGATACAGTCCTTCGTCCTCCACTTACGGGAAGAGTCTTCATGCAGATCATGATGGACCCAACTCGCTTCAAAATAGGACATCAAACCCCTGACAAATCCGTTCCCCGTGCACCCCTTGACCATCATGTGAGAAGCCCGTAGCTGGTTTTCAGCATGTTCATGGAACGACCACCAGTCTAGAACTGGTGAATCAAGGGATATCCAAGCGCGCGCAGCTCACTCGCGACGAACTCATCAAACGATGGCGTGCCGCAATGGAGGACAAATACTTGATCCGACGGGGGCGGCAAGTGCTCCTCGAGGATGTCGCGGGAGAGCCGCCCGATGCAGAATGGCTTCACGTCGGGATCTTCCTTGGCATTTTCGTCGTGCGTCGTCAAGACGTTGAGCCAGCGAAAGCGCGTCGGGAACATGCTGTGCAGCGGCGCAAGTGATGCCTTGGCAATCACGTGGTCTCGCGACCGATTGCAGTAGATCAACGTGAGCTTGGTCGCGTCGAACACCCTCCCTTGCAGGACCGCCTTGATCACAGCCAGCATGGGGGTGATGCCACTCCCGGCGGCCACCATCGCTATATCTGTCGCTGGGTGGGTCACCGACGGAGACACAGTCACCTCGCCGACGCCAGTGTACCCAAACGACCCTTGCGGCCCAATCATGGCCACGTCGCTGCCCACAGGCAACGCAGCTAAATGCGACGTCACGATTCCATCCGGGTAGACTTTGATGAGAAAGTCGACAGTGTGCTTCTACTCCGTCACAACTGAGTGAAGATGAAGGCACGATGGCCACGTACTTGGGTGATCGGGGACACTGGCGTGAACGCACGCTCGTAAAACTTGCCTTGGATCGTCACACGAAACTTCACGTGTTGTCCTGGCATCGTTAAGCCCTAGATGAGCTAGAGTTAAGAGCAGCCTTTTCTTTGATGCGGGATCCATGCTATGCTCAACAAGATGGCGGCATGATTGCCGCCAAATGAAAGCGATGGCACATGACGTCGAGTTGGGTGACGACGACTGAACGTACCAGGGTCTTGTTGCGAGGTAGTTCAAACTGAAACAATTTGGTCATGGCACTCACGTCGCGAACTGCCAGGAGGCGCAGCGGCCGGTACTCCACGGAACTGAGAAGGACGGTCGAGTCTTTCGATGCCGCGGTTGTGCTTGGGGTAGCTTCCACCGTGCCCAAAAAGCATTTCTACAAGCAAAAAACAAATTGGGACGGACTGTGTGGGAAGAAGTCGGTACCTCGAGCATGCCGTGACCGTTGACCCACGCGTGGCTCTCATTGAAGAGCGTTGTGCAGTCCCCGCCCGCAGACAGCATGAGCTTGCCGATCCCGCCAGGGTGGTAGCGCAAATACGGAGTCAAGTTGTACACTTTCCCATCCAAGATAGTCCAGCAATCTTGTTCCGTGTTGTGCTGGGCTATTTCTTCTCGGGGAATGTTGCGCCGAACGCCGTGGCCTCCAGTCATGTCTTTCGAGCGCTGGGTCAGCATCATCCAGTGCTACAAGCGCACCGGTATGTCACTTTCCGAGGGTCGTGCAGGTTTTGGACGTACCACTTGGCTGAATCCAGGCTCCAGACGGACTTTGCCTTCGCGGTTGCTGGTGCGGTCGCCCATTCTGTCCTTTGGTCGACTGGCCCATGTCACCATCCTTCGCCAACATTCCAGATATATCCGGATAATACTTTTGCTAAACAAGGCAGAGTCAGTTTCATCCGGATATGTGTACGAACCAGGAAAGCGCAAGGGCCACAGCTCCACGCCGCCAACGGTGACAGCCCTGTGACTTCTCTGACAACAATAGCCCCACAAAGGATGCAGCAGCCGCTACGACGGCGGTCCCTTTAGTCTCCGATACGTTTGACATAGGTTGCTAGCTGCTATGTTACCTGCAATGGACTGTAGAGTGAAAGGCGACATTGATTTCCCCATCCCAAATATGCAGAGCTTGCTCCTTTGGGCGAACGACAAAGGCAGTGCATGGTCAGCGCATGCACGACGATATTCTAATGCCAAGCACTCCTCGTCTTCAACAGCAATAGTTCAGCCTGCCCACCCGCTTGACTGGGACGATCCGCCGGATACGCAAATCAACAACTACCACGGCGCTATCGAAGCATCGAAGCTTTCGGTGACATTAGGGCATCGAATGGCAGGATGAAGAGGGTTAGTTTACAGTGATTGATCCATACCAGTATGAATCCACCAACGAGTGCAAGTCGTCTCAACATACCGTTGAAACAACATTGGACACCCACATTGTACAATTCTACTTGCGAAGGTACGTTCGACTGAGCTTTTGCCAAATATACACCATGGTCTTGAGCGCGCCGGCGGTGGCAATGCCCTTAATGCTCTGTGTGCGGCTGTACTGGCCGACAACCGCACTGACCGCGTGTTTCAATTTCTTGCCATTGGGCGACAGGGTCAACTTGACCTTTGCCTTTTCGCTCAGCCGCGACGTGATGTTGTGCGGCAACCCAAGGAGCATCGCTTCCCGTGCGACGGGACTGACGTCGCTCTGCAGGTTTGAGCCGTGCAGGCGGTTCAAAAATGGTGACGTCTACGACAGGGGTGAGGACGCGTGCGAAGTTGACGCAGCATTACGTCGATTTTGTTTTGATACAGCTTTCGGAACTTTTCCATGCTGCCATGGACAATATTGCGCACTTTTTTCGGATTCTCGCCAAACACCATGCGGAAATCACCCCAATACGAAATTCCCGCAATTTTCTACCCCATGAGAATAGTCAAGGAGAGATGCATTTCAATTGAAAAATCTGTCGTACCATGAAGAGCTGTTCTTCCGTGAATGTTTCCGGGAGGCCAAGGATCGCTAAATGCAGCGCGTTCGTCAAGTTGATGGATGCTGCCTTGTCGATCTCGACGTTCGTCTTGAAAATGTTCACCTAACTTGGGATGAGAGTCGCTTGTGACGTGCAACTGTTGCAACGTACGGGTTTGTGCATGCGGCCGCTCAAGTACAGCGTGGGCCAGGCAGTGAGCTCATGGCACAACGTGCTGGTCTTGACGACCCCATACTTCACTACAACTCGAGGTGAGCCTGCGGCGCCAAGATTATGACGAGGACACACTCAATTGCGATGAGCCGGGAACAGGAACCAGTGTATTGTAGTAGCAGCCGGCGCCAAAATGTTCTTGCACGTACACGATTGCCTTGGGTCCAAAGAGCTTGATGCCCGAGTAGTGCTCTGGATGTCGCTGCAAGTGCTCCGTGTGCCACGCAAGCGGGTCCTCCACTGCCAAGACTAAGTCGATCATGGAGGTAGAATCATCGTGACCGGCCTGTTGGAACACGGCAGAACCATAGCCCATGGCGAAGTCGACTGGCGGGAAGTGCGGCAGAAGCGCCGCCAGGCTTGTCATGTTAGCGGTGAGGGCAACGCAAATTCGTGCCAATATTTTAAAGACGGAATTGATTGGACAAAAATACGCATATCTCACACATGTATTGACCAATTACATGGCGATTTAATGGATCTTTCAACTATCAAGGCATTGGGTGTAATACAAATGACGAATGACATTTTATTATAATTCCTAGGGCATTCCATAAGAAATGAATAGAATCACTTGGGTGTAGTATGTCATTAAACCTCGATTGGTATTAATATTGGTGGCTTTGAACGTGAGGTGGAATTGTATTGTGCCGACTGTGTTGTCGATTCAATTCACGTGGAAGCAAGAAGTGAGCAACATGGCGGCGGCAGATCAAAGCATCGGTATGATGGATGGCGCGTACTTTGTCGGGCGCAAGGAGATCCTAGACTGGGTAAATGCCACGTGCGGCCTGGGACTGACGAAGGTCGAGCAGACGTGCACAGGTGCGGTCGCGTGTCAGATCCTTGACGCAATCTACCCGGGGAAAGTCCCGATGTCCAAGGTCGACTGGAGCGCCAACAAAGACTACGAGTACATCCAAAACTACAAAATTCTGCAAAAAGCGTTCGCGACGCTCAAGATTGATCGGTTCATCGAAGTCGACAAGCTCATTCGAGGAAAGTACCAAGACAACTTGGAGTTCATGCAGTGGTACAAGCGATTTTACGAATTGAACGCTGGCGGGTCGTCGGACTACGATCCGATTGCAACTCGAGAAAAGGGAAAGGGTGGTGCAGCTTACACGGCAAAGTACAAGTATGCTGGGGCAACGACGGCCCCTTCCAGTGCGCCCGCGGCCAAGAAGCGTCCCGTTGCGGCATCATCCAAAGCTGGATCTGCGAAACCTCCTGGTGCTCCTGTATCTGTCGAGAAGGAGAAATCGATTCGTCGAACGAGTAAAGTGCCTTTGAGTTCTTCGTCGCTCCTAACAGAGAGATGTGCCCAGGTGATTCCGCCGCCAGCAACAAAGAGATTGAAGATCTGACGCGGGAAAACGAAGAATTGGCTGAAGCGAACTCGATCTGCCGTAGCCAGGTACGAGTTTCGACCTTACTTAAGTCTCATGGGCCATTGCTGGGACTTCCTCTGCGATCGTATGCAGATCGAAGGCTTGGAAAAGGAGCGAGACTTCTACTTTGGCAAGCTGCGCGACATTGAGTCCATGCTCCAGGAACTAGATGAGTCGCAACACACGGACATCATCAAGAAGATTTTCGAGGTTCTGTACGCCGCGGAAGGTGACTTTAGCGTTCCTGACGACGAGCACGACGTTGGCGCCGAGGACGAATTGATGTAGTTTCTCCCCAACGAGTCGTTTCAGGTTCCGCCTGGCAACAATTTCAGCCAATGGAACGACTTTTTGAAATTTTCATCCAATCAAATGAATCAAAATTGAAATATGGGCCAATCCACACTCACTGTGAGGTTACCGTTACAAGATGCAATGCATACAACCAACATGCCGACGGAAAGTAAAGATGCCCGCGACGACAGAGACGACGATGACGACGCCAAAGGAAGCTGCCGAAGCAACCATGTCGATTCGAAAGGAGCAGACGACGATTATGACGAAGACGACAACATCGTGACGAAAGTCATGACGTATTTCTTCGAGAACCAAGAGTTCAACCAGGCGTTCCAAGACTTTGCCGAGCGGGAATGCGACGTGTTTGACACAGAGGACGAAGCCGAGATGAAGCTCGAGTGCGCACATGCAAGCTGAGATCATTTTAACGTGCTGATGACCATCAATCCCCTGGGTATAGGTACACCGACGTGTTCAATCGATTCACCGCCCTCTTTGAATCCAAGCTCGAAGGTAGCGAGCGTACACTTATTACCAAACGTCTTCGTACTTCACGCAGCGCATGTGTCTTTCACAGTATTCATCGAATCGCAAGGCTCCACCGTCAAGGACTTCTACACTATCGTGAAGCGCGTAAGGAATCAACCCGGGTTCGCATTCACTTCACAATGCCTTGCCATGTAGGCGTACGAGAACGACCCAGAGAGCACCCTGGCCGTGTATTCTCAAATGCTCGTGTCCGTGTGCGACTTCTCTGTGTTTGTCCTCATGATGCGGCGGACGCGGGACGCCATGATGCTGCAGGCGGCTCGGAAGTGAGCGGACGTCGGTAGAACCGCTCCGTTACGATAATATCACACTTTTGCAGAGGCCGTTTCATGAACGGTTACAAAAAAAATCTCTACATCTACCACCAGTCCCAGTACACCACAAAGATGCCGAGTGAGAGCAAGGGAACCTACCGCCGTGACGACGACGACGACGTGAGCGATGCAAAACGAGTCGGCGCGAACGAATCGGATGCCAAGACCGACCGGCCGCCGACCATCGTGGACCGCGTGATCGCGTTCTTTTTCGAGAACGAAGACTTTTGCCGAGTGTTTGAAAGATTTGCCGACAAGCATTGCGATATCTTCGATGTCAAGTCCGACGAGATGCAGCTCGAGTAAGCCATGTCGATCGCCTCTCTGTATCACACTCACAGCGAGCTACGACTGACGCAGGTACACGGACATTTACAAAAAGTTCACCGACCTTTTTGAATCCAAGATCGAGGCGTTCATCGAGTCCCAAGGATCTACCGTCGACGATTTTTACACCCTCGTCAAGAAGGTGGGTACCTGAGTGCATGGATGCCTTTAAGTACGGCGATGCCGCCATTCAGGCGTGCCGGCGGCAAGGCCGCATCAGCACCGCGGCAAAATACAACTCAGGGGAGTATGGTGGCTCACGGTTCCGTACAAGTAGGCCCACGACAAAGATCCTCATGGCACGATCGCCATTTACTCGCGCATGCTCGTCGCGACGACCGACTTCGACGTGTTTGTGATCATGATGAAGCAAGCGAAGGAAGCCAAGGCCGCCGACGCCAAGGGCGAGTTCAAGTAGCTGAAAATATCTGGTCGTTCCATTGACAACGTGAGGGGACGTGTTGAAAGTGTGGGTGTATAAATAGCAGGTTAAAACGATGGCGGAGGTGGAGCAGCGCGCCGACTTGAATGCAAGGTCGTGTGTGGGAGTGTGAGACGACAACCGACCGACACTCACGACGCGGCCCCACTACAAAACACAATGCAGTTCATTTCCCCGTGCTGGATGCAGATCAAGGAGCACCACCGGCCGCCCATCGCTTCGACGACGGACGGGCCACTGGGCATATGGAGAAAACATCACTTACACCAACACTTGGTTGAGGTCGTCGAAGAGCGACTTGTTCTCGAACAGGACCTTGCACACATCCTTGACCACCTTCTTGCCGACGAGCGAAGCTTCCGCGACCTCGTCCAGCGATCGCTTCACGTTCGTGTATGCAGCCACCATGTAGATCACACCCGCAGCGACCGCCGCGGGTGCCTTGCCATCGACAAGCCCCATCTTGGCAATTTTCTCGACAATCTGCAGCGCCAGGATCGGAGTCTTCGACGGCAAGTCCAACGACGAGCAAAACCGTGATAAAAAGTCCTCGGTCCCGGCTTGTTTCTTCGACGCAATGCTTGAGCGCGACAGCACGCCAAGGGACTTGCCAATACGCTTCATGTCGATGCCAGACGCAACGGCCAGTTCCTTCAACGTACGCGAGTGGCTGCAGTCTCGACACGCCATGAACAAAATCGCAGCAAACACGCCATTTCGCTCGTTGAATTTCTTGTGCGGAAACAAGTTCTGTTCGTCGACCTGGGCGTAAATTGTAATGGCGCACTCGACAACAGCCTGGCCAACATTGAGCGCATGCGCCAGAGTCTTGATTTGGTCCACTCCTTCGTGGCGTCGTAGAGACGTAGTACTTTGTGCAGAATTGAGATATTTCGGGGCCGCAGTCTCGCTCGGACCGGACGAAGCAGACTTGACCAAGAAGGTTTGTAGGGAGGTCTCACCCATACGAGCATCCACCGCTTCACCAATACGACTTTGATCTCCCCGATCTCGGTCGTCATCTGCGTAGTTGGTCCATTCTGCTGTCTCGTCAATCAACCGCTCGGCCAAGACAACTCCACAGCCTCGACACACGAGGTCGCCTGCAGCGTAATCCTCGACAATGTCGTCGCTTCCGCATTCACGACATTCGGTCTCCATTGGAGACGGCGAGTACTGCTGCCTATGATTCATGAACGAATCGTGAACTTTGCAAAACTTGTCCGTTGGGCAGAGGAGAAGCGGCGCCGCGATTACCTCGGGTCGAGGATGAGCTTCTGGAATCCCCCTCTCAAATTGCACGGAGCCACCCACCATCCTGGTTGGCTCTCGAGTTCTATATTTATATTAGTATCCCGTAAATTAATCTTTACCTAGTGTTTGTATGAACATGCCTTATTTCTTTTAAAAATATACTGCCGAACTGAAGATTCCCTAATGCAAAAAAAGAAACAGCGTTTAAACGTGATCTCGAGTGTTTGTCCTTTGAAGCCGACTCGTTGAGGCCATCGTGTAGCGATGAATTCAGCCGCGAAATGGAATTTCGACAGGGCTCTACGTGCCCGCGGCAAGAGCATGCAGCTTTCATCCCGTTTTATCAACTAAACTACCTTGTTCAGTGATGTACAAGATAGGCAACTCCTCGGATTAAGTAAAACGCATATAACGTGGCAAACCTACATTCTGCGGTCGTACACAACCGCGGACGACTTCGACATGTTCCGCGATTCCATGCCGAGCGAGAAGTGAACGGCTAGCTGGCACAAGCACATGGAGGCGCTTCGGATGATGGTGACAAGTTATAGCTTGCTCGACAAATTGGAGGTGCATCAGACGAACCTGATAAGTCCAAGTTGTAAGTGCAATCCATCCTGACGGCCACTCGACAGAGTACACGAGAGCCCCAATGCATGCTACCGTCGCAATGGACATGCCTTCCAGATGCACTTTGTGAAGTCTGTATTGAGTTTGAGCGCTTGGTTGACAAGAGCGACGACATTGGAAAAGCAAACGCTCATAGGTGGTGCGGCGAATGCAAACGATTCAGAAAATGTTGTTGAAATCAGAGTGAAAAATTGGGGGTGTTCACCGGCACTGAGGCACCGACAAATGCAGCAGCACGAAATATTGACTTTGTTAACTTAACATGCGAGCTGTCGCAGCTCAATCCACGAAGTGTGGGCGTGTGAAGGACGAACTATTTTCCACACGATCCCGCGGTAGAGGAACTCATCTCGACCATTGATACGGTGGAGCACAAACTCGATAGCTTTTTCCAGCTAAAGTCACAGTACCACCACGTTCACGTCGTATCATCTCAGATGGTTGATTTGCAATACCTCAGTCGTGCAAGGCTGGGGGGCTAAGAGGGACAGTCCAAACGACGCCACACAGCAGAGGTAACCACAACCGAAGCACGGCATGCACGGGAAATAGTCGTCGATCGACTGGTTGATGGCTGCTATGCACGTATTGAACTCATTCGGAGACACTATTTCAAGTTTTCGCATGAAGACACGTGATACACAACCCAGTGGACGTACCAACACCTTTGAGCGCCTTCGGGTACGTGTCGTCGTACGCACTGGACCAGCCGTCGACCGTGATGTTTCCGACGGCGTCGAGTCTCGCGAGGACGATGCTCTCGTCGTCCTCGTCGAGAAGGCTCTCCTTACTCATGCGTCTGCCTTCTCAACCCGTCGTTACAGGTGACTCTCGTCACGAAAATCGAGGTGGCCCTTCAAACCTGCCCCTTGGATCTTAGTAGAAACTCTCAGAATTTATATGACGGAAATTAAAATGTTTATGTCATTTGCGGTACTTCTGCTTGAAGGTGCTGTGGACGTCCGACGCAAACCCGCGACTGTCGGTAAGCTCGGCGTTCGCCTCACGTCGGAGATTGCGAATGCCGTCCGTCTGACTGTTCTTCAATCTTGTCTTGGTTGTATTTAGTATCTACGCATCGAGCTGAGTTTGGAACTCATCGCCGTAATCACACATACCTCTCCGAACGACTTGGAGATCTCGTCGTACTGCCGCTTTTGCGTCTCCTGTTCGGCCAGTCGCTGTTCGAGGCGCTTGCACAGCGGATCGTACCGCTCATGAATTTTCTTGGTCTCTTTCTCAATGTGCTGTAGCTCTTTGTTGTAGTGAGCGACCAGGTCGTTGCACAACGCTTGCTTCTGCTTCACACGAGCAACGAGTTTGTCCAACTCCGTGATCTACTTTTCACAATAAACACGGCCATGCCAAAGAGTCGGCAAGCGTACTCGTAGTTGTGCAAGCATCGGAGCATTCCCGGTTTCGTTGTCTTGCCGCTCCATCAGTGTCAGTCGACCCTATGAACCATTTTCTCACACGGCAAAGTTTCTGCGGATCGAAGATACCGCGTACCTTGTCGCCTTTGTGGCTTGACGCTAAAATGGGCTGTCATCACGAATCGGGGTCAAACCAGGACACGATGCATGTGGCGCGGTCTACCTCCGACATGGCGTTTATACTGCGCCAGCGCGCTTGAAACAGTCGCCAGTTGAAAAGGGAAACGAATATAAGATATCACAGGAAAATTGCTGCAAATACATATACTGATATTTTCAATGAATTTAATTACTACTTGATATTTGAATTTTGTGTGAGAATAGAATGGACAAATCGTATCTTCGAAATTACAAAATTGCTGTCAAGTTTACCAAATCTGTATTCCTCCCAAGTGACTGAGGAGGAGGCGAAATTGAACAATGCACTTTTTGCAGAATATATTTTATATCTGGAGAATTTCTCGAAAATACCGTGTTTCAAAAATCACCGCGGATTTGCAGTATTCGTGCCGTCATTTCAACTGCCGGACAGACCGGTGCGCGCGGAAGGGACGATGCGGTCGGTGAGGGCACAGAGTACTTGCGGCAAGGCAACGTGACGAAGACAAGACGGTTACTTAATCTCGCACAGGAGGAGAATAATCTAACATCTCCTTCGGGATGAGCCTATCTACTCAACCATAAATCAGGCGGAACACATCGTTGTGCACGTAAAATTGGCCGGGTGAATGTGCGACCAACTGGAACACTTGAGTGAATTGCAACGGAGGGTTCGTGTCAATCTAGAGCACACACCAAATATGTTAGGATCATGCGCACTGGACGGAACATGGAGCGAACGTACAATCATTTTGCCCGTGACAAAGATCAAAATCGACGACTCGTTCAACGAGGGCTGAATATCGACGGTATCGGTCTTGTGTTGGGTCTTGGGGAGTTCGTTGAACTTGCCGATGATGGCTGCTTGTCCTTGAAGCGTCGAGGTTTCAAACGTGAGCGTCGACCTTTCGGTCTAAGAGGTAAGTCGTATCAAGTAAGTTCCCTTGCACAACAGTCAGTTCGCAAGGCCCGTCGGACGTACATAAAGGGGAGCGAGGCCAGCACGGTTGTTGTCAAAGGTTTCGTAGTAGAACTTGACGAACTGCGTTCCAATCTCGGTCGCCGACATCGCTCTTGCGGCGCTTTCCAACCAAACAGATATTGGCGATGGCAGTGGCTCGCAGGTACGCACTCGTACTTAGTCGGGAAGCTTGTAAACCCTAACACGTCTAAACTGCGTGGCAACGCAAATGCCAATATTGATTTTGTGAGGGGCAGTGTGGCGCCTGGTGCACTTCTACAAACGTTGGATGCATGAAATACCCTCGCAATGCTCATGTGGTGCGCGTCAAATTCACCATGGCGTGAAGATTCAATGGTTTTCAAGTCCTTTCCCCATAAAATGCCAATGGATTGAACGATCGAACGTCCATCAATGTGGAAGGTTTTGTGGATACATATCGTCCCTGGTGTGTCAACTGCACTAACCAAGGGTACGTCACCGACGTTTTGGTATAAACTAGATTAAAGTTCATGTATGACGTCGTGCGAATTTTGGGGGCTCAGCCCAAAAACCGTGCGGTGTCGAGTTTAGTCGGAATACAACGATTCTGTCCCGACTGTCTTCTCGTTGAAAGATATCTTCTCGTGGCAGTAGTCTACCGCAACGTTGTAACATCCACTGGATGATGACCCCGCTCGCTGTTCAGCATGCTTCCTTCTGCCACGACGACTGACGACTCTTGTTCATGATCCCTCCATGACTCGTTGCGTTATACACGTTAAATAGATAATTCTCTTAAGTATGAGCGTACTTGAGAGGGTGACTGCCATTGTCGACGTTCCTACTTTAGGTTTTTGTGGTGGCTGGAGATGTTCCGAGCGACTCGCGTCCTGTCCATGGCGGTAACGCAGAAGACGTCCACGGGTCTCGTGGGTCTTGCTGTAAACCCAAACTGGCGTGCCGACCTCATTAAGTTGTACGGCGAAACCCTCAAGGCGACCCAAGTACGCAGTCGGCATCGTCGAAGTGATGCTCACCACCGTCGTCTCGTACGACATCTTGATGTAGACGCACTTGCCAGACTGCTTTTACCGAACGTCGGTGGAGCAAATCACCAACTTCCGCCTCAAGGCCGTCACCGAACACGAGAACGAAGCAGAAGTTGAAAAGCTCATCAACTGCGGTCAAGTCGAGGAATTAATAGAGCAAGCGGAAGACGAATTGTTCCTCATCCCCAAGTATGCTGGTATGTGCTACAGCAGTGCTTCTTCCACCACCTATTCCGTCCATCGCTTATCTGCGTGCCTAGAATGGCGATTGTGGGAACCTCCTGTCACTCCCAAGGAAGAATAGAGTCGCGCGCCGCCCTGGGCTCTTCCTTATTGTGTGGTGGGTGGCCGGCCGATTCCTCTTGGCCATCGCAGTCCGCCTTACTAATTGGACAAATACGGCATCTCTCTGATATAAGTTTGACTTGTTTGATTACAGCTTGCGACTGCGGGTGATGTTGGCTTTAATCCCCGTCATTTCGCCGCCATACCGCGCCGCTTCGCCTGTTCGGACTTCGCGGACTTGGCCCTTTCGTCTGACGAGGGCCTTCTTGTACTGCAAGCGCTTCTTCACGCGAGGGTTGCGATTGATCTTGGACTTGTGTGCCTTGAGCCCTTTGTTCTTGATCATTTGATACGTCGCGCCGCGCTTCTTGTCGTCATCGTCGCCGTCCTCGTCAAACTCTGGCTCGACGATCTTCGGCTCGTGCGTGTAAAACTCCTCCTTGACGGCCTTGCGATTCTTCTTCGTTCGGGCCACTTCATTGTAGAACGCTTCCGCTTCGGCCTCGTCCACCGTCGTCGCGGCGGCAGTTTGTTCATTCTTGCGCTTCTTCGACTTGGTCTTGGCGTCCTGCTTGGATGACGGCTCCTCTGGCCTGTCCTCGAAGAACCTGCCCAAGCCATCGTCGTCATCGTTCTCTTCAGCCTCCCCATCCGAAGCCACGCCGCCTTCCGGGACTTCTTCGTTCAGCAGCGCATCCAGTTGGTGGTCGAGAGGTTGATCGATCTGGTCGCACGTTCGCAGCTTGTCCTGGAGGTTCAAGATGTGGCCTAGCACAGGGTGGTCTACCATACTTTTGCCCTGTCCGAGCTATCGTGTCATGATCGAGTAGACAGGAAGATTGCGGCGTACCTGGGCTTTGCAGTGAAGGTAGAACGAGATGTTGGTCGTGTAGTTGAGCACGAGCGCTTCCTTCGCCTTCATGTAAGCGAGTCCCGTGGTGACCTGGTCGCTCTTGGAGAAACGTGACTTGATCTCGAGCTTTTCGATCGCAGGACGAATGTTTTCTGTGTATTGCGCCAAGTACAGCTGCAGCTCGTCCAGGAGTCCAAGCAGCTCGGGGGAAGACCTGTGCACCACGCGTCCATGACCATTCCCGAAACGAAATTCAAAACCATTAAAGAACGCATAGAAGAACGAAAGGACCAGCCTTTCAACGCAATAAAAGAACAGAGAGCATGAACAACGTACTGCTGCACAAACGCCAATTTGTCCTTCTTCGAGAGCTTGGAGAAGTCTTTTTGCACCGCTTCAATCGTGGACGCGGCGTCGTCTTGGTCGTACACGAGGGGAATATCCGCGAGTTCATCCTCGACACGGCCTTCCTCGTCTTCGTCTGGCACGGCGGTATCGGCAACAGTGGCGACTTCAAAGTCGTCTTCGTCCATGAGTTCAGCTTGTTTTCGCTGGAGTTCGAGGGCCGCGTCTTCTTCATCCTTGGCGATATCTTCCATGTCCGAGTCCATTTCATAATCGGCTGTGTCTGCTGAGTAAAACTGTTTCTTTGACGACCCCCATTGATCCTTGAGTTTGGCGGCACGCTGCTTTTCTTCGGCAAACGCTTCTTCGTCAATGTCTTCGTCGTCGAGATCGTCGCGCTCTTCCAAGTCGCTCTCTTGTTCGTCTTCAGTGTCATCATTCAGCTGCATCAATTCCTGCTCACTGCCGTCGTCTTCGTCACTGCTGCCAGCATCCTCAGCCTGGTCGTCGTTGTCCGAAGGATCGTCGTGGAAGACAAGATCGTTGTCCGTTTTCGCAAAGTTCTTTGTCTTGTTATTGCGCTGCTGGTCTAGCTTCTTTGCCAGACGCCGCTCGGCCCCGCCGTCGCCCGTTTTGGCGCTGTGTCGTCCACGGCGTCCCATGCTGCTCTTCGATTGTGCTTTCAACCAAACGCCACCAACTTCAATTGATTGGTGGGAATAAAAACAATTTCAATTGGCCAATTCGACAACCAATCAAATTGCTTCAACTATATCTTCAGCGAAAAGGTACGATTCGCATCGACAAATCCAGCACACGGCATGAAAGCTGCACGTGCATAGCGTCAGCATTGTCGCGATTCACCGAGTGCTGCGGAGTACGAGACCGGCATCATACAAGGCGAACAATCCAAGCTCTTTCCTTTAAACTGGTCCGCCGTTGCGAGGGGCCTGGGCCTGGGCGATGGATGACCGCGGACCTGAAAGTGCTGACAGACCCCATAGTGTCGAAGGCGGTTTACACTGGATCTTCATCCCATTCTCATGAAGAAAGAGGGTACGAGTCTTTCGGGTACGTTGTGGTGGAGTGCAAGTGACAACGTTACAAAATGGGGGCGTTTTGTTCCTTGCTGGCGACGTCTTCGCCAACAATGTGCGTATCCAGGACAGTCACACTCGTTTGTGGCATCGATTTTCATTCGTACGAGCTCGTGCCGCTCGACAATTTCACTCGAAACTGGCCAGGTCGTGCAATGCTGTACAGACAGCGGGAAGTTGGTCGACTTTTATGTATTCGATACAACAGAGTAATCGATACTTTCAGCGAAACCTCATTGTGCTCAAAACCATCCGCGTCTCTGACCTGTGTACGGCCACCAGCACCACCGCCAACACACCTACGGAGTATATGCGGCGTGATTACGCTGTTACTGAGCTGTGTCGGCGTGATCTCTACAGCAGCGCGGCTCGGCCGCCTCGCTGGAGTGCAGATTGGTCGAGTCATCACCATGGCATGGTGGAACGAGTCGGGACTGCACCAAAATTGCATTTGAACGTTCTAATGACGACGAGGTGGTGGCTCCGGTGCGAGAGGATGTCGGCAGCAAGTAGTTTTCGTCGGGAAGCGACTTTGCCGACTCACGAGGTCCCGGGCGGCCGGAAACTAGTCGCGACGGCCAACGGCACAATTTACGCAATATCGATATTCAAGTCGCTCCACGTGGTCCGATCTTGCAGGAAACAATGTTCGGTGCCATATCCGCCGTATTTGCACCCAGTTCCCCAACACAACAACCGATGCACCTTGGCAGGGTGTGCCGTTTACCAAATTCGCCCGCAGCTATGGCATATTCGGCGCCGTCACGATGATCTGTCTGCGGCACCCGATCTCGCTGACTTCGCGCCACTTTAACTCGGACAATCCGGCATATTTGGATCGGGTACAACTAGGCTGACCATCTCAATTTGTCCGTACGATACATGAATGACGGATGGATTCCCCGACGCACGTGAACTCTGTGAAAGGCAGCTTCCGACTGCGGCAGCTGCGTGAATGATGTTGCCGAGTGCTCCACACAGCGCTTGACGCCTCGACATCGGAATTGGCTAGCATGTGCTTGCCCGACGGGGCTTCGTTCGCCTGACCTGTTCCATCACATTGTTCGGTACCATGCACCGAAAAACCACGCCGCACTGCTGGCTGGCCACGAGCACCAACACTAATGCCATCGTTGAAGAAAACATGTTCGCGAGGCCCCAGTTGATGGGCACGTAGTCGAGGACGACATAAACAGCACAGCTAATGTACACCCCACGCTAGAGTATGGGACCGCGGTTGTCGATGAGCCTGCAACAACTCCTTCGATCGATCCGTTGGCCCATCATGTCTTCCAACTTACACGATGCTCATATAGATCTTTCGCCCTGTGCAAGTCATGGAGATGTCGCTACGACCGACAAATATGTGGGCGTTTGGGCTCATGGCTTTGTTACAACATTGCCCCGAGGATTCCACAATGATGACGATCCATTGGGCCACAACGTCGCGACCACGAACGACGGGAACCGCGATGAACAATCGATCGAGTATCGTCGGCAGGTCAATGCGTGCCTGCACATCGCGATGTTGTTTTGCATGCGATGGATGTTGCCATGTACGCCATCACGCGAATTGCGTTGATGAACATGTCGTAGCAACGAAACTCCTTTTCGAGGAATGCAAGAGTCCGACGGGCGCATTCTTGGTGCGAACGAGAGTTTGCGTGAGTGGGGGACAAGGGTCGAAGACGGAAAATGGGCGTACTTCGAGGTGTTCGAGTTGGATGATACCAAGACGGCTTACCGTACACCCCCGACAGCAACGAAGCATCGCAGATGAAGAGACAGATTTTGACAAACCACGGAGGCTCATCCCCACCACCGGCGGATGAATCGAAACCCTCCCTCGTCGTTTTCTAGGATCAGCCAAGTCAGCGCCGATGATCCTGGCGCATGACAACATCAAGGAGTGCCACACGACGAAACAGAGCATCGCCGAGTAGATGCACGAATTAAGCAGGGTCGACTTCACTGCAACAGCCTTGACAAATCCGAGCCACAAGACGACAGCATACAAACAGCTCCGCTCTGGTACTTGGTCGCATCAACCGACGACAATGTGGCTGCAGCGGGTGCCGTCGTCCCTTGGGTGATGAGATCTGAAGCATGTGGCTTGGCATGGTCGACATGGTGACTTTTTTTCTGGCAAAAGGTCGGCACGTTGTCGCTGAATATACCTTGGATTGTCCACGGGTACGTCAAAGAGCATGTCGCAATCCCTGTCGTACGTTTATAAAGAGGGACGCATGCGCGACAAGTTTTGACATGTCGTGGGGCACTTTGAAGGGACGAATGGATTCGAGTAAACTCCAACTTGGTGTTCGGGCTACCGATGGTCCAACGCGTTGCAGCCAGGCACGACGATGCCAACGCGCGGCCATTCCTGGCCACTCTTGACAATGTGGAGTGCAATCTCAAATCAAATTGTGCACAGTGGGAAAACAAGTTGGCTTGTGAAACTCAACATGATCGACAACCCAACGCCATGTATCGCCAACGCGACGCGATCGACGGGGCCGACTAAAATCGTCGACTTCGCGCAGTGCACAGTGTGCATTTGAATCATTCTGGCCAACGTTGGAAGATCGAAAGGTCAATGGCGGCCAGGCTAGCAACAGGTTGGTTTTGGCGGTGGTGGTCAACATGCCAGCCACGCCCGCCGCGACGTTGGGCGATGTGGACGGCACTTTCGTTGGAAGCACGCGCTCCTTTTTGATATATTGACGCGCCATCCTTTCGGGCAATGCGGCGGCAGTCCATTGTCGATTTCGGCGGCATGTGGATAAAGAAGCTCGTCGTCTTGGTTCGACTGACGCATGCATGCATGGCACTCGAAGTGGTGTGGACTCTCGAAAAAGGAGTGACGGTCCATGCAAGTCCGAGTGATGGTCGTATCATGACGTGGCGAGCCTGGGAAACGACAACGCGCGGAAGGCAACATGCCCTACAACATGAACGATGCGCTTCACGAAATGCTGGCATGCCCTACGCGGGAAGATGGAAGTGATGCTCCTGGAATGCCAACGGTCGCATGTGTGAGGACGGTGCACGGATGGGGGCAGCACGCCAAGGTGTACACTTTTTGGATGCAGGACGTTCTCGGCCTTGCAACCGTTCTTGACATGTTTGGAGACTGTTCAAAAGAGTGCCATGAAGGGCCGTGTACCCTTGAGACCTCTTGGTCAGGCTCAGAGGCATGGCAATCGGGTTGACGTACGGTGAGCTCGAATTCATGCTGTGCTGCACGCGAGATTGGAAACGAACCAGGTGATGCACACCTCACCTCTAGACGAAGCAAATGGGAGCGGCCGATCGCAGCACATGGAATACAAGAACGATTCGTTCAATACATGTGCTAAACCAGCACAAGGAGAGCGCCACCGTCGCGAAAGACAAAAATGCCGCAGCATCGCGTCGCCGGCTGGGCGTTGTCGCGGCTCTGGGCCAGCTCCGATCGGAATGCAGAATACTCTTGTGCTTCAAGTGCACGGATCACTCGGTCCACCGAGTACGGCCCTTCCGACTCGTACGAGCCTGTGCGATTGCTGTGCCCCCACCGGCGGCAAAAAACAAAGTGACCTGTGCCATGTGTGGACTTGAGGGCGGCCACTTTGACGAACGCATTGTCTTGCGCCGATCGCAACGTCGTCGCGAGGTTGGGCCTAACCGTGGCAGGGACAAGATCGAATTCGAGCCACAGTGCTGTCGACAACAACTCGTCGGAACTGGAATTGTCATCGACTGTCAAAGATGGGTTCACGTCGCAGGGCGACATGGACACGTACGCCACCGTCGATGTCGGGGGAGGCGTCGCCCACCAAAAAGGCACATGGAGTGACGTCACAGGCGTCGAGGGCATTGCCGTCGCGGACTTTTCCTTTATGATGCGACAGGTCCGTGCCTGTCGAGGCGATGTCGCTGCCACTCGAGGCACTTTTTGGGTCGCAGCAAAGTATGTCGCGGCAAGAGCGGTCGGATGGGAAAAGCTGCGCGTCTTGCGCATGCTCCGAGTGACGCATCGAGTCATGCGGATGGTGTCGCTCGGACAAACGGGGATGGAGGATGACCTGGCGCCGCCACACCGCAACACCCAACTGCGATGGAAGGAGTGATGGTAGCTCCAATTCCCGAGTGATGGTTGCTCGAGTATTTTCGCGTCGAAGCGGAGGAAGCGAATGCCGTGCGAAGCTTGTTTCGGTGAACGAGAGTGCGGAGGTCTCATGGGACGCACGATGTTAGCCACATCAAGGTCACCCGTTGACGTGGAAGGGTCTACGTGACCGAACAGCATCGTTCGCTGTCCTGAATGGCTACCATGTGGACACTGCAGACAATAGCAGTTGCAACACCGACAGTCGTGTTCATGTCGTGGGTTTACTCGTGGCCGAAGCGGCCCTCGCGCGTGTGCCTATCTATATCCAGTCCATGCCATCATCACCAGAGCCCCCACCCAGCGGCGCCGCCCTTTCGCTTGTCTTGAATCTTCTTGACCTCGGTCGGAGAAAAGTTCAACACGGTTGCGATCGCCTTTTCCATGTGCTCTTTGACCTAGCACCGTTCCGTTCAGCGACACTCTCGGTGTGGTGGAGTACCTCCTCTTGGTCCGTCGACATGTACTTGATCACGATGTTCTTGAGGTACTCGTTCGTGGTCGGGGCGTGCGACGACGTTTCGAATCCGTTCAAGCTGTTGGAGCTGCTCATGCGCCGCAATCCTGCCGACGAGAATCCGCTGAGGGCGCCTGTGCTACCGCCACTATGCGTGCGGCTCGTATATTGCTGGAGCTCCTTTTCCTTTTGGTCCACGACTTGCATCGCCCGTTTTCGGTACAGAGCAAACTCCATCTTGAGCTTCGTGATGTCATTGCCTCCAATTTCAACGTCGAGCAAGTGGTGGCCATGCGCCGCCGATGTCGAAGATGCAACGACCTGTTCCTCCAACGCGGCCTTCTCCGCCACGACCTGCTCGTACCGCGACCGCCACTCCATCGCAAGAACCGTCTCGCCCATCGTCCCGCTCAGTTTCGCATAGTCGCGCGTGAGTTTGTCGTACTTGTCTTGGAGCTCTCGTTCCTACGGCACCATCGTCAGGTTCAACGGCCCTTTGAAACCCCCGTGCATCCTGCCGGCGCATCCATTCTGCATGCGACAAGGGCGATCGATTCCACAATCGTACTCGTTCTTCCGCAGCCGTTTGGAGCTGACTGAATCGCCGAACTTGTAGCCGCGCGGCTTGGAGCTCTTGCTGGAGGTCGACCCCTCCAATGTGCTCCGTCTGCTTTGTCAAGGCTGTTGCGCTAATCTACGAGGATGGATGAGTAGTACGCGACAAAGCGAAACGAGTGGGCCAAGGGCGCCGCATACCTTGCGCAGCTCGGCTTCTTTTTGCTTGCGAGTAATTTCTATGTGAGAAGCCATGTCCATCAGCTCTCAAGTTGAGCGCGTCGCCACCGCATTCGTGACTCGCCATCCAGTGAGTAAATTGAAAGGCAAACAACGAACAGGAGCAATGCTAGCCAGCAAAGAAGCCTCATGCAAAGAGGACTTCTAGCGCGACTGGCCTCTCCAGGGGTACATGCCATCAAGACAGGGAAAAACACGGCTGAAGGGAGCACCACACTTACCCGATCGCACGCGATACCGCCGGAATTCCTCTTGGACTCGCTCAAGCTCGTCGCTCAAGTCTTGCGTCTGCAACGCAAACGAGCAATTGCGTGGGTATAGGACAATAGGTAAACGACGGAATGTTCGCCCAGTCGAGAACAATGCGTACCATTTGGTGAATGTCGGAGGGAGGGAGACTTAGGTCGGGCACGCGCAAGGGCTCCCCGGCGGCACGCCGGACGTACTCGACGAGATCGTCTTCGCTCTGGAAGGAGAGCCACCCACTCTCGGGGGGTCGTGAATCGTCGTCATCGTCGCTTGTGTACTCGACAAGACACCACAATGTTGTCAGCCCGGCATGGCTCACGTGCTTCACCTTGTGCAGGATGCGGCGTGGGTCCTTGGCCCGACCTTGTTTCGCCGCTGCGGCCTTCAACTCAACCACCTGCTGCTTGAGGGACTCAATCGACGCATCCTTGCTTTCAATGCTTCGTTTGGCCAAGTTGAGCAGTCGCTTCAATCTCGTGTCGGACTCTTCGAGTTCCTGAATGCGAGCCTTTTGTTGGTTCACTGCACTGCCTAAACGTGCGCTGCGTTCCTTCCACTTGGCAGCCTCGTCTACTGCATTTTGTGCTGCCGTCTGTAGAAGTCCATCCGTCGAGCCTTGTGGAGCGTCCACAACCTCTGCCGATGGAGTTGTACTTGCTGTAGCCAAGCCGCTTTCCGCCGCAGGCATCATGACGCCATCGTCGTCGGCCATATTCGTGACGTTTTCTGGATCGAGGTGTGTGTAAAATTGTTTAAAACAGTGGTAAACTCAAGTTCATGCTGTTTTTTTGCTGCAACAGCATGGATCCAACAAGTGCAGCGATCG